TTTAGGATTAGTCGGTTACTATCGCAAATTCATCAAAGACTTTGCGAAAATAACAAGACCTCTTACAGCTTGTTTAAAAAAGGGTAATAAGATAATTTTGAACGAAGAATATAAGGAAAGTTTTGAAACCTGTAAAAAACTTTTAACAAATGCTCCATTATTACAATTCCCAGATTTTGAAAAACCTTTTATATTAACAACCGATGCATCCAATTATGCTATTGGAGCGGTTCTATCACAGGGAACTATTGGAAACGATAAACCAATAGCTTACGCAAGTAGGACATTAAGTGACACAGAAACTAGATATAGTACTATAGAAAAAGAGCTTTTAGGGGTAGTCTGGGCGGTAAAACATTTCAGACCCTATTTATACGAAAAAAAATTTACTATTTATACGGACCACAGGCCTCTAGCCTGGCTATACTCTCTTAAAGAACCCAACAGTAAGTTATCCCGTTGGCGACTTAGATTGGAAGAATACGATTTTGAAATTAAATATAAAAAATGACAGCAAAACATAAACGCAGATGCCCTGTCAAGAATAAGATTAAACGCATTAGATAACGATCTCGACTCAACTTTAGCTAATATAGACGATGAAGATGAACGTATAAAACAAATAGTCAAAGAATTAAACGACGAATTTGTAACAATTAGAAAAAAGAAACCTAAAACACCATCAGTTATATCAAATTACGACACAGAAAGTGAAAGATCCATAGCTGTTTCTGATATCGAAGTTGAGCCACCAATGGAACTGATGGAATTATCAGACGATGGTGTCACAGCTAACTCAATATCAAACAGGAAACATGAAGGGATTCCTATCCTGAATGAAGCTATAGACACAAAACCACGTCAAATTTTAGTCTCCACATGGTTCACTGATAAAATATCTGTTAAAGATATTTCAAATAAGAAGCAACGTATTCTAGAAGTTCACATGCCTCTAAATAATGAGAGACTTGTCAAACAGTTTCTTAAAGAATATATTGATTTTAAACATAAATATTATATCTATTTCGAAAACGCGGAATTCAGGAAATCTTTTAGTAGACTTTAGTAGACTTTTAGTAGTAGTAGTAATCGAATTATACAAAAAGGGAACTTATAATTTGATCGAATATACAGACAGAATAGTTAATCTAACCGATTCAGAACAAGACCAAAGACGAGTAGTTGTAGCGTACCACGAAGGAAAAACGTGGCATAGAGGTATCAACGAGACCTTAGCAAAAATCAAAAGACACTACTGGTGGGCAAATATGAAAGAAACTATAACAGCCATTATTAATTCATGCGAGCCATGTCGAAAAATGAAATACGAAAGAAAACCTCTTATCCAACTAACACAAAATCAATACAGCCCATTCCAAGAAGTCTTCATGGATCTTTTATTTATAGTAAAACAGTATTACCTTACTGTGGTTGATGCTTTCAGTAAGCTTGGACAGGCTATAAACATTCCCAATAGAAGTACACCAGAAGTAGTCAGAGCATTAATAAAATATTTCAGTATGTACGGAATTCCACGCAAAATAAACAGCGATTCCGGAGCTGAATTTAATAATGAACTAATTAAAGAACTTTTAAACCTGTACAAAATAGAACTTCATATTAGCACACCAAATAATCCTAGTTCAATGGCCATAGTGGAAAGATTCCACTCCACAGTAATCGAAATATATAGGTTGGCAAAGTATGACAAAAGTGATCTTGATGCATGTTCAGTAATGACATACGCTATAATGGCATACAATAATAGTATCCATTCAGCAACGGAATTCACGCCTTTTGAAATAGTTTTCGGTAATACTGACAGCGGTAACATTTTTGATATTAATAGGGAACACAACCTAATGCAAAAGCTATTGCAAGATCACAGAAAACGTCTAAAAGTACTATATGAATATGTTGGGGAAAAACTAAAAGATAATAAAGCCAAAGTTAGGGACAAGAAAGGAGGTGAAGAAATACCAAAAATCAAAGAAGGTGATACCGTATTTATGAAAACAACTCGGACAAGGAAAGCTAAGGAATTACCACGTTATGAAAAAGCAAAAGTAATAGGTGAAACAAATCGTAACATTGTTCCAGTAGAGTTAAATAAAAGAAAAACTAGAGTAGCTGCTAAAAATATAAAACGTCCTCCACAGGTCGTGGCTGGTACTTCTGGCACTTGTGAACCAGATCCACAGCCTGGAACTTCAAAATCTGGAGCGGAACCCGGGGATAACCCCGCTGAAATATGGAACAGCAGTGATGAGGAGTAGTTATTGGACAGTTTACAAAACAGTAGAGATAAACGCATTAGGAATACAAATTAATAATAATATAAATATATACAACAAAATTAATACAATTATAACAGAAAATAGCCTAGAAAAAGAACTATTAGTTATACAAAAACAAATAGACTGGTTAGTTAAATTAGTTCAGGACAAATACAATCAAATAAGTCCTATCCATAAAAGAAAAAGAGCCATTATGAGCCCTTTGGGGTCCATAATAAAAATTATATCAGGTAATTTAGATGAAGAAGATGCCATCAAATTCAACGAAGAAATCGCAAATTTGAGAGTTAAAGAAAACTTAGCAGAACGTAAAGTATCGTCAATGCAAAAAGCGTTTAACGCGTTAACCAATGTATCTGAGGTTATCAATAGTAACGTTGAAAACTTGCACTTTAAGTTTAAACAAGTTGACAAACTAGAGTCAAAAACTGACAATGTCATTCGTACAATAAATAGCCTTTATCAAATTCTTAATAACTTTCGTTACATTTATGAAAATATCCAGGAAATTGAAACAGCCATAGCATTCAGTAAATTACGCACCCTACATCAATCTATCATTAATTCTACAGAATTACTAAACGTTTTTAAAACTATAGAACAAAATGCACAAACTATTTACCCAGTAACAAGAAATAACTTATTAAAATTAGAACGTAACATTATCCTAAAATGTTATATAGATAAAGATAAACTAGTTTTTATTTTAGAAATACCATTAATAGAAAAAGAAATGTATAACAATTACAAGATAATTCCCATTTCTATAAAAAAATTAACCAGCACCTGTACCAGAATTCCTAAATATCCCTACCTATTGGTGAATGGTTTGAAATACAGAAACGTAGTAAATCCGTGTACCCAGATATAGTCGAACAAACACTTATGTTCGGAGGAAAATATAGCACCAGTTGAGGAAGAAACATGCACTGAGGAAATAATGCTGATTAAAAACAACTTCAGTCATTGCCAGCAACATGAAATAAAAATAGAAAAGCTGAAAATACAGAAAATAACTTTTGACCACTGGATACTATATGCAGAAGACAATGTTATACTGACGGAGCAGTGCTAAGATGATACCCACAGAATTAATCTACAGGGGACATACATCTTGACGCCGAGCAAAGGTTGCAGCATACAGATAGGAAAAATAATAATTGGCCTATCGAGCAATATGTCAGATGCCAGTCTGCAGATACCACTTGTGAAAATTCCGGAGGTGCAGTACGACATGCCGAAAGAAAAAAAAAAGGTTTGATTTAACAAACGTGGACTTTAGTGACGTTAAAGAAATCATGAATAGTGCTAGAAATAGTGAAATGGTGGTAGAAACTTTAGTGACTAGTAAAATAAGTATATGGACTTTAAGTCTTTATGTTGTAATACTGTTAATTATAATTTTTATTGTATTTAAATGGAAATTTAATAGTTTACGTCAGAGACAAAATTATCCGAAGTCAACTCCTTTTCCTTCGAATAATTTTTCTCTTGGGGAGGGAGAGGTTAAGAGTGATGACCCCTCTAATATCTGCTTTACAAGCACTTCTAATAAGTAGGCCGTGCGTCACCGTACGGATCGCTTAGTAAGATGTAAATTTATATAAATACTAGAATAATTGATTGTTAGATTGATATTGGTTTTGGAAGTAATTATAAGTTGTAACGCTGTTACTTCATATAAATAAATTATATTTTTTAGTAAAGTCGTTGTTGTTAACTTAATTCGCGCGGCTCCGCGATACCGCTTTGACGTTCGGTCGTGCGTAGAACGTGCGAGGGCAAATAGGAGTCGTCTGCCAGATGTGCTTGGGACAGCACGCTGTCATTTTTGTCGGGAACTCGGAATAATTTAGGCGCGTCTAGTAAATATACTGTCTGGGAATTGTAACGCGCATTCCTTGTTTGAGAGCTTCACCCGGGACTCATTGTGTATGACTCAGAATCTGTATAAGTGCATTCGACAATATTAGCTAGTGCGGCATTTGATATTCTAGAAATAACTGTTGCCACGCGAAACGGTAGTGACCTTTAATCCGGACACTCCGTGTTCGTTTTGTTTGTTAAGCTTTATAACAAACGAGAGTTCGTGGCTTCTTTAAGTTACTTAATTGTACGATAAAGTTAAGGACTGTCCTCGTGACGAACGAAGAAAGTGACTGTGGAGTACTCCGTGGAAGATTACCACAATTTGGAGCGGTGCTAAAGTCCGAGCTGCTGCCGATGGCAACGGTCTCATAAGGTCTACCACACTCAGTCACACACAGATACACATCACAACACCTTACTTCCCTTGCACCACACAACCACATGCGACCTGACCAAATCCTGAGGGACCAGTCGCCTTGGATATAGGTAAGTAAGCTCGGTTTAATATTCTCCCTGTTGAATAGCAGCAAGATCGAACGCCCCCCCTTATTGTTTATTGTAATTAGGAAATTCCACCCGGCCATATTGAGGCCCGACCTACGTCTGTTCGTTGAAACTCTGCTGAATGGGCCCCAGAGGATTTAACACTTTGTGGGAGCAGCCGTAGGCCGTAACACTAATGCCATATTTATAATTATAGACGTCAATATGTGAAGATTATATGAAAAATAATTATGTAGTTATGCCGGGAACAGAAATGCTTCATTATACTACATTTATATTCAAACACATTACATGCTGCTTTGAATAAAACAATCTATGCCATTTACTAACCAGTAACTCATCAGTGTCATGTCCATCATCTGTATTCTTGGTTGACTCGTCCAGTTCACTCTCTCTGTTATCTGGCACTTCCTTATGTAACACCTTCCCGTCGGTTTTCCTGATCAAGAATGCGCCCAAGTCGCCGGGAAATTCTTTGTTCTACAACAAATTATTAGGTTAAAAAAAAGTTATAGCCTTAATATGTCCCAATGCTGGGCACAGGTCTCCTCTCATTATGTAGAGGGTTCTTCTATGGAGAGACAAGGAAATGTCTGTCGCGCTGCCCCAATGCATGTTAGAGGACTTGACATGTCTTTGAAATATATATTTTTAATTACTTAGACATGGAGATAATGTAGATAGACAGAGACCACAGTATCTGGTGACTGTCAAGTAGAGGTTTGTAACCCTTATTCTTTAACATAAAATACAGGTTTCCTCACAATGTTTTTTTTTTCCACCAATCCACCAATATGTGTAAAATCAGCAGTGAATATTGCAATTCATAATTTTATTGGTGCCGGTGGGGATCACATTTGGGTTGCTGTGCTATTTACAGTATCCCATTAGTGGCATTTAAAGACATGCAAGACCCGTAACAGAAGTTACATCATATGGTACAGTAAATAAAAAAAAACTTTATGAGATTTCATGGCAAATTATTTAATCTCACAGGCTAAATCCAAGATGTATGTTTGTCTCTTATTAGTGTCAGTTATGGTCCCTTAAATGCAATTATAATCATTTAGTCGTACCTGCGAATTCTCCAAGTTATTGAGGGTCTCTTCAATGTTTTCTGCTTCTTCTTTTTCATGTCCATCCCGAGCATTAGAATCTCCAGTATCATGGTATGCATTAGGGTTTTCCATGGAGTCATGCATGCTTAACATTGTGTCATCATTACCAGCATTAGAATCACTCTGTTCTGCCTGAAATAAATATTACATGTCACAGGTTCATGGTAAATCCAGTTTTTTGATGTAAAACCTAAACTGATTTAATTATATTATGATAAAATCACTGTTGGTGGATAGTTCTTAAAATAAATAAAACAATCAGATAACCTAACCTATGGTTAAATTTATTATAAATCTAAACAAGTTCATGTATTTGATCAAAAAATAGGTTTTTTTTTTCAGGTAAATCATAAAATTAAGTAATAATTATGTCTTCTTTCAGTTCTTGATCAATAACCTAGGTTTTTTACGCATCACAGACTGTAATTGCACCAGCTCTCTATATCCTTTGTACAAGGGGGGACACTGAAAGATTTTAGAACTGGCCACTTGTAAACAATATAATAAAAAATAAGTTCAAATGGGGTTGTTATGGAATTCCGCAAAGTAACGCCTGATTCTATCAATTATCTAAATAGGTTCAAATTTCGAAAATGGAACTCTTTGTCAATTTGACTGTGTATGTATCTTATTAATTTGTCATTTCTTTACGATTTGGTGGTGAATTTGAAAATTGTCTGTGTCACGTCAGCACAGAATTTAAAGAGAAAATTTTGGTAAAATGATTTTTTATGACTTTTGATGTCATTTAAGTCAGCAATAAAGTTATGATAGACTTTAATTGGTCTTTCACGATGAAGCCCCATCTCGTGCCACTGTTTACAACTGGTTTAATGAGTTTAAACATGGTTGCACTAATCTCACCAATGACCTGCATGAGGGACAGCCTTCTACGGCGACGACTGAAGATAACATCAGTGTTGTGCAGCGTACGATAGAGACTTATAAAAGAGTGACTTATCAGCAGTTTTGGCCTAGCTTAAAACATTTAGCGGTCAGGAAGCTTTGTGGCTGTGTTTCAAAATGCCATCGAAGAGACCCCTAAGGACAAGTGGGCAAAGAGCTTATCTCAGTGGTTCCATCGGATGCAGCGATGTATTGATGTAAATTTTTTTTTTTTATAGGAGAGGGAGCAAACGAGCATGCGGCTCACCTGATGGTAAGTGACTACCGCCGCCCATGAACAACTGCAACACCAGGGAATCGCAGATGCGTTGCCGGCCTTTTAAAAAGGAGTACGCTCTTTTCTTGAAGGTCCCTAAGTCGTATCGGTCCGGAAAAATCGCTGATGGTAATCGATTCCACAAGGAGGTCGTGCGAGGAAGAAAACATCTTCTAAATCGCACAGTGGTGGACCGCCAATCATCCAGATGGTGTGGATGGTATCGGGAGTTCTGCCGCAATGTGCGTTCGTGAAATTTGGCGGCTGGGATTAATCCGAACAATTCCTCAGAGCACTCCCCATGGTAGATGCGAAAGAAAATGCAAAGGGATGCAACATCTCTTCGCAGTGCCAATGAATCGAGCCGATCGGAAAGGGCTCGGTCGTCGACGATTCGCGCAGCTCTGCGTTGGATGCGGTCAAGTGGAAGGAGCTGGCACTGGGGAGCCCCTGCCCAGAGATGGAAACAGTATTCCATGTGAGGCCGAACTTGCGCCTTGTAAAGTTGCAGACGGTGTGCCGGCATGAAATACTGTCCCGCTCTGCTGAGCACGCCAAGCTTTTTAGAGGCCAATTTGGCCTTCCCTTCCAAGTGAACACGAAACTGCACGTCACTCGATATGTCGACTCCGAGGATACCGATACTGGCTGAGGCAAGAAGGGGAGTGCCTTGAAACTGAGAAGATACGACAAAGGGGTTCTTTTTAGCGGTAAACGCGCAAACTTGTGCCTTCTGAGGATTAAACTGGACTAGATTTAGTCGCCCCCAATCCGAGACTTTGCTCAGCAAAGACTCGACTTCAGACACAAGTTTGTTCCGGCCAAATTTTGATTGGCCACTATTTTGAAAAGATATAATAAAACTAAACTAGTTTGTTCAGTTTTAGATTTTTTAAGAACTTTCAGTGTCACCCTCGTACCGGAAGAAAGCAGTGCATGCACTGCTGCTTAACAACAGAAATAGGTAAGAGTGGCACCAACTGACTCCTAGGCACAAAATGGACCTAGAAACTACAGTGTTGAGAATGGTAAAAAAAATAAAAGGAAATACGAACAAATGAAAGTAGAACTGTAGACTCCCACCCATTCTAGCAGTATAAAGTATCGTGCAGGCAATTAAGAGGCATCAGTTGGTAATTCTGCAAGTCACTGTCATTAGCATGCCCATTAGGGTATTCTACTAGTGTAGGCAAGGGAGATCATGTTTCTGCCTCTGCCTTACATGCTTTCGTGTTAACATGTAATTAGATCCTTCACATTACATGTTACAGTTGGTCGAACTGTAGTGCTCTATAATGAATGTATGGTGCAGTGTGTTATTATCCACAATGTTTTCTGATAGTAAGCAGGGTTTGTTACCAACTAGTGTTCCTTTATTTAAATACTTTTGAGAATAATTTCTAACATCAGAAGTGGAAGTTTCTTATAATAGGATATAAGATTTATTTTATAGATACACTTACATTAGGATTGTATTCTTCATCAGTGAGTGCTCCTTCACTAAGCCACTCTTCATGTCCTTCATCCAGCTCAGCTTCATAATTAGGATTCTGGGACTATAATATCATATAAGAATAAATATTGTAGTGTAAATGGTGTTAAGAAATTAATGTTTTGCTTAATTATACAACAACCAAGACACACAACTGCAGCTTGGACTGATGACCTATAAAAATTTAAAAAACAAAAAGTACAGCTTCACCTAATTAGTATTTCTGTATTACTATCGATTACCTTACCCTACAGGTTGTTATGGGTTTATTGATCAAGTAGTAAAATGTACTGCTTGATCAATAAACCCATAACTGAAACTGTTCGTCTCACTCGCTAATTTCGCCAACAGAAATTTAGAAAGTACTTCAAAGTTGTCCGGTTTCTCGGTCTGTTAAAAATGTTTAGATTTTGTTTACATAAAGCAAAATTAAAATTACCTGTAATTTTAGGACTTTTGCAGCCGGCCCTTCACTATCAGACATAATGATAATTATTCTTTGTTATTAAGTAATAATTCTATGTTAATAAGTAAAATCATTCACGATTATTTTTAATTTAAATTCAATTCAATTCAATTCAATAAAAAATTTAACCATATCAGATTTATCCATTTAAACCCACAGAACACTAACTTAAACCATTGACAACAATTTAACCATAGACTAAGAATTTTTTTTTGGAGTTTATGGCCTGGTATCTAGACCTTTAGGCCAAGTCTTAAGTATTTTTATTCGGTTTATTGTAATTTCCCCACTCCTTCATAGTATACTGCTTCACAATATGTTGATGCGTCACATTGTGCAGTTCTTGGGAGATTTTGGCGGCAACTTGATCCAGCAGACAGCTGATAGTTGGCGATGATATCTAAAGGTGCCTATGCAAACAAACAGCTTATCTTGAGAATCCATCACCATCAGAGCACTTGTTTCACTGTTTCCACTAATAGTTCACATGCGTAGACACTTAATACACAAAATCGCAACACTTTTACATATCAAAGTCCACTTCAAACCATTATTTAAACAATAATACAGGAGCAGCAAACCGCCGCCGGTCAATTTCCCGCAAAAACTCTAGACTAAGAATATAATATACCAGTGTTGCCAACAACTCGGAACCTGATATCGCCATTTTTCACAGATTTAATAGCCTAATATAGCCTAATTTGAGCTGAGGTAGCCTAAAGTAGCCCAAACATCAAAACTTAGCTATGAATAAATAAAAACGTAATTTTTAACAATTTGTTTATTCATAAGATGTACATAGAGTATCAAATTAAAAAAAATCAGCAATCATCATTTGCTGCCAGCAGTAACAAAGCATCAGCAAGACTTACACCGTTAAAATTTTCTGTAGCCTCTGCTGTGCTGGTGCTGGCGCAAGCTTCGCTGGAACTGGAAACATACATTTTTCTCCCAACATGTAAACTGATCATATGATTGCTCGGTTGAAAATTGTTGCAGCAAATATTTCGGACATTCATATGTGTACGGATTCTATGAATTGCAATCAGCATGGGTGGTTACATTCTGTTCCTTAATTTTGTCTTTATCGTGCCCATCACGCTAAAATTATTCCTACGATAGCATTAATTAAAGGTAATGAGAGACATCGCAATGAAAACTCGGCAAACTCTTTAAACATGGGATTCCCTCCAGCATTCTGTATTTTCAATACCTGTACCCAAAAATTAACGATATTGTTACGAGCTTGGGGTTCGAGACAATTAAAAACTGCCGATTGAATTACCAAAATTGACACTTTAATTACGGAACACTAATTACAACTTAAAAAGACACTAATAATAAAATACAATTGTATTACTGATCTCTTTAGTTCGAAGTTATATCATTTCGAAGTATTCGCTTATATCGCCAATTCAATACTGACTCGGTCGTGGTCTATACCGGCCTTATATAGGGCCTCAGATAGTTTCCAGAACCTTCTACTGTAGCGACATCTAGAATGTTCGAGTACATATCGGTCCCGAAATTTCTAGAAGGATCTTGACTCTCCTAGTTCTGCTACTCGGCACTAGAGGGCACTGGTGGTAACTAGTGTTGCCATGTACAAGACATTAATAGTAGCACGCAACAATATCATTGGGAGCTGTACCGATTACTTCGATGCGCAACGTACAAATTAACTGAAACTGAAAAACACTATAATGAACAAAGAACGTCATTGGTTCATTATAGTCTGCCGGTTAATATTAGGTTTCCCTAATTGCCAGGGAAAATCATCTACGTTGGGTCTGCTGGTTGAGAGGCACACATGGCTTAGTGATAAATGTTCAATTATTTCCACCACTAGCACATTCAGTGGGAGCCTGTCAACTAATTCCTTCACTAAGTGCACGAGAACATGCGCGACTCGGGACTCTTGGAGAAACAACAAACTTAGAGAAATTTCGCAAATAACAGACAAATGAAATACGTAGCCGGTATTAATACTTTTAATAACAAATTTAAACAGTCTAATTGCATATAAAACAATCTTTTTGTATTCTAAATTTGGTTACTTAATACGTGCAACAGGTTAAGTTAGAAGCCTTCCTCCCTAACGCTTTGTCCGTTTATTTGGATCTACCCGTCTCTCTCGCGCACTACTGCAGATGAGTGAGAGTGCCAGTGAGCCATAGTTTTGGAGTATTTCCCGAAAGTAACAGTGTTGCCAGTTTTTTTTTATTTTGATGTGTACGTTTTGCGTAGGTGTAGGTGTTCTTATCAGTTGCTTAGCTAATAATGTTCCATTCAGTGTTTTATTGGGTAAACTGTTTTATAAGTTTTGTTTTAATTAAATTAAATTCGTTAAATGCTCGTTTACAATCGGCGCTAGAATTAGACAAACATAAAAAATTCAAAGCGAATTGAGGCAGTGTTTTATAATTTTCAAACGATTTTTTGATGTCACCACAAAACTCGTCGATATTTAAAATTAAGTCGATTTTATTTAAAATGTTGGGAAAACTGCACCATTCATCATCTATTGCCTGGATTGTTTGAATGTCGTCGGGTTTTACTACTCTTGGGACAAGTATCATGAGTGGTAGTAAGTAAAGTACTTTATTTCTGTAATTACTCGAAGCAGCATTGGTAGGTTCATTTATTCTTGCTTGAACTAATTAAATTAACACAAAAAAAACAGGTTTTTGACAAGTCGCAGTTATTACCGAAAGAGAAAAATTATGATTTTTATAATAATTCAAACAATTCAAGTAAAAGATCTAGGCACTCATAAGATTGTTGAGGAATTCCCCGAACATAACTTATACTACATGTACATGAAATGTTTCAAAATATTAAATTATTTTTTAAAGTCGTACAAATTCCGTACCATCTTGGTCTAGCCAGATGTACGATCACATGAGTGAAAACGCCAAAAAATCGTAGGAGTACGATTTAAATCGTACATCTGGCAGCCCTGCCTCCGCTACACTCTCCAGTAGGTAGGTGGAGTTTTGGCGGGAAATTGACCGGCGGCGGTTTGCTGCTCCTGTATTATTGTTTAAATAATGGTTTCAAGAAAAGAGCCTACTCCTTTTTAAAAGGCCGGCAACGCATCTGCAATTCCCCTGGTGTTGCGGTTGTTCATGGGCGGCGGTAGTCACTTACCATCAGGTGAGCCGCATGCTCGTTTGCCCCCTCTCCTATAAAAAAAAAAAAAAAAGTGGACTTTGATATGTAAAAGTGTTGCGATTTTGTGTATTAAGTGTCTACGCATGTGAACTATTAGTGGAAACAGTGAAACAAGTGCTCTGATGGTGATGGATTCTCAAGATAAGCTGTTTGTTTGCATAGGCACCTTTAGATACCATCGCCAACTATCAGCTGTCTGCTGGATCAAGTTGCCGCCAAAATCTCCCAAGAACTGCACAATGTGACGCATCAACATATTGTGAAGCAGTATACTATGAAGGAGTGGGGAAATTACAATAAACCGAATAAAAATACTTAAGACTTGGCCTAAAGGTCTAGATACCAGGCCATAAACTCCAAAAAAAAAACTCTCCAGTAGGTATTATATATTAGTCTATGCTCTACACTACTCGCGAAGTAATTTTGACGACGTGCGCGTCGAACAGTGTGACCAGCTTTAAAATACAGATTCTGCCTTAGTTTGGTTAAAAACCAAAATACCTAAATACTGCCAACTTTATTTACCATTTTATTAAACTAAGAAAAATCAAAATACAACACAAAAAATATTAAACTAAGAAGAATCAAAAAAGAATAAAGGCTATATTTTTTTTTAAATTGAAATTAAGCATATGTTTCGTTGGTTTGAATGCAATGCAATCGCCATGCTAACCAATATCTTGTTTAACGTACAAGATTGACGCTAAATGTTTGTTTATAAATTTGTTTCGTGTTTTTGTACCAATTAAATTTATTTGAGAGAATATTCTTTCGTAAGTTGAATCCACTCATATTTTTTTTATGTTTACTAGTAGCGGTATGCTCCTTTAAAGCGGACAGCTGGGGTGCCAATTTGCAATTGGTTGCTCGGTATGGATCATCTGTAGCTTTGGAGATCTATCATGAAAGTAAAAGATCTTGCTCCCACTATGCTCTATACTCCCTTTCATATTTTCGCTTCAGCACCGCCACCTATAATTAATATCGTCCACGAAATATTATTAACAAGATGTTATCACCATGAAATCTTATGCGATACCAAACTAAAGTCTCTTTTATGACTGATTGAAATATTAACCAACTTGTGTTAATATTATCAACTTTTTACACAATTTTTTTTAAAGTTGTTTATTGAATGTGATATAAACATAATACGAGAAATCGATAAATACAGGGAAATCCCCAACATGCTGGCGAAGTATCTAGGGTTGCCATTTTCGTCATTGTAAGTTGCCATAATGAAATATATTTTTAATACCCCAATACTGCCAAATACTGCCAGGTTTTATAAAACGTCAACCGATCACGCCAGAGGCTAAAATAAGAAGCCAATCCTGCCAAAATGGCAAGAACCTGTCACTTATGGTCACACTGTCGTCGAAGTCGATCGCAGTCCGAAGGACGTGACTACACACTCGTGCTACTTCGCGAAGAGCTCAGTCGTCTTGAGTCTCCCGTACCCTTAACATGAATAACGTTCAAGAGACAGCTGCTATAGGCTAATTGAGTGAACTAAATAAATAATTATGTAAAAAGCTACATATTTAATATTTATATATATAAAAAAATATTTATAACTGACGTACGCCGAGTAGTGTAGTGATACGCTTCGTGTAACTTCGGGGTACTTCGCGAAGTCTTTTGACTCTGGCGCAAAAAACCGACAGCGATCGGAAGTCGCCCGAAGCGAACCGAGGTTGCACGAAGCGAATTGAAGTAACTCTCTACACTATTCGCCTTGTCCAACTTCGATCTACTTCGCAAGTAGTGTAGAGGAGGCATATGAATCGTATTCACTACGTTTTTTGCATACCATCACATCAAAGAGCAAAGAGTTGTTGTTT